CGGAAATTTTGGGCCCCGGGTAGACCCAATCGGCTTGCTCGCCGGGGTCCAGAAATTTCCCGAAAATTTTGAAGCCTAGGCGCCCCGGAGCGTGCTGCACCGCATAGGGCTGGTTTGACCGTAGCGTTTTATAGAGTAGATAAACTTTTGTATTTTGTATAAAGTATTTTCCAAGATCTCTTCTATCTATCCTTCTATATCTTGAATTTCAATATCATATTCAAACTGTATATCAGAATAGTAAGATCTGAAATTTAGAAGCCATCCAAACCGTATTCTACCTATATAGAACTTCAAAAAATTATTCAATATCCTCTCTCATGTAGGAGCTGCAACAATGGACCCATGTAGGTTATTTGTTGAGGCTCCTTTGCTACTACGCTAAACCCTCAGAGCCCTGAGCTCTAGACCCCAACACCCCAGGCCCAAACCTTAACTGTGTGAGCTCAACCCCGTGCCTCCCTGAAAGTCTTTTTGCCTCGAGCCAAAGGCGACTTGGTTGAAAACTTTCGTTTGTGTCCGGCTGCTTTGATGCGGCTGCCTTTGCTATTACAGGGAGAAGTACTCCTGTGAGCTTAGGGCGCAAGGTGTCTGTATGCTCTGCACACCCGGAGGCGGAACATGATGGGCAGCTCACTACTTTGCTGCGAAAGGCATTTCGAACCCGAGTTTGCAAAGAAAGTTCCTCCGATGCTGCTCGGACCGGGTCGGGTTCGATAGCCGTTGCCGAGAAAACTACCGAAGTGGCAGAAAACTACCTTCTCCTCGAACCTTGTACTAAACCCCACCCTTCGAGTTGCTGAACCCCAAAACCCTAAACCCTAAACCCCCAAACCGAATCCTTAATCCTAAACCCCACAACCCAAAATCCTAAACCCTAAACCCCCAAAGCCGCAACCCATTATGCGAACTTGTGAGCAGCAAGCCCGCACTGCCGTGGATTCCTGTCTAAGAATTCTTCATAGTACGGGTCCGAGTATTCGGACCTGACAGGTTTATGGCTTCTGGCTTTTCGGGTTTTTCGATTTCGGGAGTTCGGGCTTTAGGAATTTCGGGGCATCCCCGATGGTTTTCAGACTCCTGTCTGCTTTACAATATCTCTAGGCCCTAAACCCAAAACCCATGGCTTGAAACGAGACGTCTCGAGTCCGCAACTCCAGAGCTTGTTGAATGCTGTACTGAGTGGCTGCTATGACCTTTGCAGCTCGAGCGTTAGATCTGTAAGACTTAGGGTTCGAGTTGAGGGTCTAGCGTTTAAGGTTTAGGGTTTAGGGTTTAGGGTTTAGGGTTTAGGGTTTAGGGCTGTTGGGAGGCAGCTTGAGGGCGTAGGAGCTACTCGGGTTCCGGGTTTGAGATTCTGTTGTGGGGCCGTTGTGTTGATGGCCTGTCTCGAAGTCTTTGCAAGTAACTACACGGTACTTGGGCAGTAGAGAAGGCAAGGGCATCCCAATACAAACTCAAGATTAGCCCTAACCCTAATAAACCCTAAATCCTAAACCCTAGGATCAATTTAAGCTTGCGTGTTTCCCGCCGCTTGAAGCCTCACTTTTCCGGGAACTGCCATCTCAGAAGAACTGGAGCAGCTCCTCCACGGGCATTGCAAGTCACCCCCGAAGCCCAACTTTGGGCAAAGCCCGTGCTATACTGTAACCATTAAGTTTGAAGGGACTAATGTAGGTGCCTAAATAATTACCAATACTATTTTGGAGGCTCCTTATAAGAAGTCCAGTGCAATGGGGCCCCCCAAAACCATTTCCTAAATTATTGAGGCCCCAACATAATCCCCTAAACCCTAAACCCTAAAACCCTAAAACCCTAAAACCCTTAACCCACAAACCCACAAACCCACAAACCCAAAAAATCAAAACCCTAAAAACCTAAACCCACAAACCCAAAACGTGAAAACCCTAAACACCTAAACCCCGAAACCCCAAAACCCTAAAAACCCTAAACCTTCAAAGATGGAGCCGGAAAGAGTCCTTGGAGCCGCTGATGTAGTTCTTCCTTGGCTTTCTACGAGTCCAAGGCTTCGGGCTTTAAGGTTTAGGGTCTGGGCTTTAGGGCGCTGCGGGTCTGCAGTTTAGGGGTTTAGGGTTAAGGGGTTTAGGGGTTTAGGGTTTAGGGTTTAGGGTTTGGGGGTTTAATAAACCTTAAAGGTTTGGGGTGCGCTAGGTTTGAGCGAACGCTTTGAGCGAAAGTTGTGACCGAAAGTTTTGGCCGAGTTTTGTATTTTGGAAGCTGGAATTGATTCGGGACTGCTTGGCGTCTGGGGCCGGGTTGGGCTGGTGGCTGAAAAATAGGCTGAGCTGGGGCTGGGTTGGTGGGCTTGGGAGGGGCTGGGGGTCCCGCCCCACCCTGCCCCTCTTTTCCTGAACCCTTCGCCAACCTGGGTGCGGGCTGCACCGAATGATTGGATTGGCCAACAGCAACAAGCAATTTCTATTTACTTCTTTCTTGAGGGTTTCGTGTCTGGGGTCCCTAAACCCTAAACCCTAAACCCTAAACCCTAAACCCTGGGGTTTAGGGCTGTTGAGCAGTCGAAGGTTTCGGACTTCTTCTCGTGCCAAAAGCCCGTAGGAGCATTGGCAGCGGCGTCGTTGCCCAAGCTTTGGCCCATTCATCGGTGTTGGGGGCATGGGCCCCGAGTTGGTTCTTATGATTCTTGTGGCTTCTGCAAGCCTTAAGAACAGGATTTAGGGATCCCGACAGCACCGTGAACCTTCTCGTATGCTCTTCGACTGAGTATGACATTGATGTCCTGAGTACGCCAGGCTTTGGATGACAGGTCGTGTACGTCGGGTCACAACAATAGGAAAACCCTAAACCCCTAAACCCTAAACCCTAGACCCTAAACCCTAAACCCTAAACCCTAAACCCTAAACCCTAGACCCTAAACCCTAAACCCTGAACCGCTGAAATGTGAAATGCAAATGCAGGGAAAGCCCCGAGATCTGCCCTAATGCCGCCTCCGACTTCTTCAATAGCCATTTGACAGGACACGCTTAATGTAGGGTTTAGGGTTTAGGGTTTAGGGTTTAGGGTTTAGGGTTTAGGGTTGCTTTAGGAATTGGAATAGGGTTTTGGGGGATGTAATCCTATTAGCCGCAAAGTAGTATTGGAAATGATTTAGGCCCCTATATCACCTGCCTACGACATGAAGGATCCCAAAAAGTTCAACTCTCCCGTAAAGTTCAGAACAACAGCCACGGTAATTCAGCACCAAGAGTGAGAGAGTGAGCATGCAAAACCAGCCGGCCAAGCGATCAAGTCTACATCCCCGTCGCCCAAATCAATCAAACAACCACACATAAATCCACCCTGAACCCCAGAGGAGGGCACGAACCAAAAACCCTTAAACTCTAAACCCTAAACCCTTAACCTTCGTCCGAGTTGCAGGGACTGGATGATACGCTCGTTGCGCTTGTCTCCGCGGGGCTTCTGCACACCGCGCCTTTTGGGGCCACGGCAATGGTTTCCCCACTTTCTGGGCGGAGGCTTCGGGGGCAAATGAGGTAAACCCTAAACCCTAAACCCCTAAACCCCTAAACCCCTAAACCCTAAACCCTAAACCCTAAACCGAGGTAATTTTGCCTCCCTGGGCCCCTGGCAACGGCCTCCCAGTTCACCCTTCACTGATGCCCCTAAAAGCCAAACCCGAAAGCCCAAACCCGAAGCCACAAACCCGATACCATAAACCCTAAACCCCAAACCCTAAACCATAAGTCCTAAACCGAACCTTCTCTACTCAAATCCCGAGGCCCTGAACTCCGCAACCCGGTCCACGGGCTCAGGACGTGGCTTGGTCACCGGGAAAGGAATGTCGTCCTCCCACTGGTACTTGGCCTGCGTGAGATTCTAAACCCTAAACCCTTAACCCTAAACCCTAAGCCCTAAACCCTAAACCCAGACTCAAGGTCTAATGTAGGTGGTTTAGGGTTTAGGGTTTGAACCAATGCAAAGGTCTAATGTAGGGGGTTTAGGGTTTAGGGTTTAGGGTCTGAACCAATGAAGGGGCCTTAATCATGGGTTTTGGGGGAGTCCTTATTATGACTGTAGTATTATGGGCCCCGAAACCCTATTCTAATTCTTAAGGCCTCTAAGAATTACAGTTGAGTCTTGGGTTTTCGAAGCAGCGATCCTCCCGAGCAGTGCTTTTTGCCGGTGGCCAAGGGTCTTGCCGTAACTGTACTGGTATCGATGCGACACTTCATGGGGTACCCCGGCATGCGCCAAGAAGCTGTAGCGAGATGTGGTCTCTATCCCACATCAAGGCATTTCTCCATTGTTATGAGCTGGCACTCGTCAGTGATGTGGATGATGGCATCATTGGAAGGCCGTCGATATCCCATGCGCGAATAGAACCGCTCCAGGTAGTGGTGCGGAGTTAAGCTTGCATGGCTGGCCCCTTTGGATCGGGCGAGTGTCTCGAGCTCCTGTACAATCCGACTCCCCAAACCTCGGCCTCGGTGGTCCGCTTTGACGGCGACCCGAGCAAGGACCGCCCTGGACTCAGACGCAACTGGGCGGGTGATCAGGACCCGCCCAGTTGCAATCAGCTGGCTGTCCTCAGTGCACATGATGTGCAGGGCATCTGGATCCAGTCCATCATCCTCTGCCTCCGCAGGAAGCTTTTGTTCCTGGACAAACACCTCACGTCGAAGAGACTGGCAGTGTGCCACCTCTTCAGCGGTGGCGGCGAGGCGAACAGTGTACTCTGCGGTGCAGGCCGCCGGCATTAGGCTCACGTCCGCGTTGGCAACGAGAGGGTGCTATGGACAAGACTATTCCTGAGTCTCGGGAGCGGCCATCGGGTCATGCGTGAGATGACGACGTGAAGACTATCTACCCTGAATCTCGCCAGGCTACATCTCCACACTTGCATGGTGAGCATATTCTGGTCGCTCGAAGCACGACGAAGTGTCCTAAAGAACGGTAGCATCGACAGAACCCGTACCGTGGCCCTTCTTAGCTTGTGGGCCTTCGTAAATCATAAACCCTGGTCCTGAACCCCAGCCCCGGACCCTGAACCTCCAAAATCATCGGCCCCTATCTGGCTATGAGGGTGTGCTGGCTTAGTCTCAAAGGATTAAGGTTGGGTACTCTCGCCATACGGTAACTTTCTATAATGGTGCTACTAGTAAGGGCCTTTTCTATCCATCTTTCTTTCAGATTTTTCAATGGATACAGTTTGCTCGCAGTATCCAAGCTTATCCAAGTTAAAGGTTCTGTATACGAAAGCTAGTGCAAACGTCTGCACTCCACATACCCCCAGGGTTGAGCCAAAACTGAGACGTGGCTCTCCTACCATCTGCTCGGGCCATGAATCTTTAGAATACGGTTTCGGGGTAAACAAGCGTACGGAGTATCAAGGGGGATATTCTGACGAAATATTCAGACTCATATCTCTGATCATCGTAGCAGTAATCGTTACGGGATGCAAACCCAAAACCACAAGTTAGAATATCTACGGCTAACAGTTGAGAAGAAAATGTGGAAGTTGTAGTAAACACAATACTGCCTCGAACAAATGTGGGGCAATATAAAAAAGAAGAAATACAAGAATGGTGACTGGCGAACCCTAAACCCTGAACCCCTGAACCCTAAACCCACAACACAACCAAGACATCCCTCGGCCTGGATCATGAGGCGCTGCCATCGCTGCGTGGCGGCGGCGGTCTTGTCGTCCATGATGTCGTTGATAACGTTGGTAGCCTGAGTCTGGTTAAGAGTCTGGTTTAGGGTTTAAAGGGCAGGTTGAGGGGCTAGGGGTTTATAGGGCTCAAGATGTAAACCATTATCCCGAAGCCGTAAGCCCCTGAAACCCAAACCAAATGAAACCCTAAACTCCTGAAGCCCCACGCATGCATGTTCATCAGAGGGCTTCGATGCTTCAGGTGCGCTGTATGAGTTCATAGTGCATGGCAAGACCCTAATATAATATTGGGGCCTTGGTAAGTATGATGTTGGTTAGTGTTTCGGGTCTAGGGCATTTCAAAACCCAAGTATTGGGCCGTAATAATAATTCGAAGAGGGTTTCCTGGTTTTTATGCTAACCACTACTAGGACCCGAAGGGAAGAACATCCGTAAATCTCCCGACCCCCTATGTTGAACCCTACTCTGCAGGAGCACGAATGATACCCGTCTGTCGTCACCGCTGCCAAAGACCGTGAGACCTTCTACAACTCTACACGAACTTGAGCAGATCCTGCACGGCGCTACCGTCACCGCCATAGGCAGGATTTCCCCAGGTCACGACCGATCCATCGCCGAAAACTGCAGCAAAAGCACTGCGAGAGGCTTGGATCTGCTGCACGTTCTTAAGCTGATCCTGCACGGCACTACTGTCACCACCAATGTCAGGATAACCCCAGGTCACGACCGATCCATCGCCAACAACGGCAGCAAAAGCGCCGTCAAAGGCTTGGATCTGCTGCACGTTCTTCAGCTGATCCTGTACGGCGCTACTGTCACCACCATAGCCAGCATCACCCCAGGTGACGACCGATCCATCGCCAAGAACTGCAGCAAAAACGCTGCGAGAAGCTTGGATCTGCTGCGCGTTCTGAAGCTGTTCCTGCACGGCAGTACTGTCACCACCAATGTCAGGATAACCCCAGGTCACGACCGATCCATCGCCAAGAACCGCAGCAAAAGCGCCGTCAGAGGCTTGGATCTGCTGCACATTCTTCAGCTGATCCTGCACAGTGCTGCTGTCACCACCATGGTTAGCATGACCCCAGGTGACGACCGATCCATCGCCGAAAACTGCAGCAAAAGCACTGCGAGAGGCTTGGATCTGCTGCACGTTCTTAAGCTGATCCTGCACGGCACTACTGTCACCACCATGGGCAGAATCACCCCAGGTGACGAACGATCCATCGCCAAGAATGGTAGCAAAAGCAGTGCCAGAGACTTGGATCTGCTGCACATTCTTCAGCTGATCCTGCACGGCACTACTGTCACCGTTTTACATGCAGGGTTAGAGAATCACCATTCTGCAGCCGGGCACGCTTGATCTGTGCACATGCATCTAGAACGCTTCCGGATGAGCCCACGAGCCGCCCCAGTCCGACTCCGAGTGCGATCTGTGCCCGACGCTTCATTGTTCCCACTGCTTCACTCCAATCAGCGTCCACTGTGACTGTCTTGCCGCTGAGCAGCCCAACCTCTACGGTAATCGACATCTTGCCACGCAGGACTTTAACTATACCGAGTGTACCGTTCGGGGCTGATTTGTGATTTCCTTTCAATTTCGGAGTTAAGGTCTTGAGGCTGAAAGGGGCTCAGCCATAAGCTGAAGCTTTCCTTGCAACAGGGCTACCACAGAAAGCCCTATCCCTGGCCTTGCAGTGGCATGAGCCTGCCAAGAAGCCCTGGATGGCTGCTTTGATCTTGTTGATCTTCCACGCAAGCGAACGAGCCAAACAAATGAGCCAAGAAACAGAGGCACAAGGAATTGTCGGATCCACCCATCCACCAAGACTCACTTCGCTGCTTCTAATGTCAAAACACAAGAGCCACCATGGGTAGTTCTCTAAATTAGGGCCCCTTTTGTGGTCCTTTCTATAAGGGTGCCGTAAACCCGAACGCCTGCTAAACTCTAAACCCTAAACCCCGAATCCCAAACCTTATGAGTCTTAGACCCTATGCCCGGAATGCCCGGAACCACCAAAACCCTAAACCCTAAGCCCCTAAACTTCCTAAACAACCCCAAACCCTGAAACCCCCTAAA